TGACATTTCTCTCTACTGGCAGTTACCACGATTACACGCGAGTATGCCTGTGTTATTTTTTACAGTTATAGTTTTTTTTTTTCCTTCTTTTTCCAAAGTTAGGTTCTATGTTCCAAAAATTTCCTTTATCATCAATTTGCATCGGATTTATCATCATTTCTCACAATTTGGAAGTCAATTACACCAAACCTATTACCCAGCAGCATCTGACTACAGATGTAATATAGAGGTCATGGCGCAAAAGACCCAAAGTTGAAATGACTCTAATTCAGGTCATTTTTATTTTCATACTGCATTTAAAGGGATGATTCAGAGTTTAATTTGAATTAGGTTTCAATTTGAGAAAAATCTTAGAAATAAAAAAATCTTAGAAATGAGGGAACTTAGGGCTGAGGGAACATAGGGCTGAACCATTACACAATGCACACATTAGCAAAAACTGCCAAAGATATTTTAATATGGTCTGAAATCTCATTATAAAATACACAACAAATTTTCAGGAATGTCCGTAATCCTGTTTAGTGTTTTAGGTCAACAAAAATGGTGAGAGTGACTGGTAGCTAGCTTGTGACACAGTAATTTTACATGTGAGAGACTTGTTTGTTGTACTTCCAACTAAATCATCTCTTTCTGGTCAGATTGTGATACAATAAAGATCAGATTAAGCTTGAATAACAGAGCTTCTAACAGAGTAGTGCTTTAAGTTAGCTTCACACCTTCAGAGAATATTGAGGGCATCAGCTAAAAAGTATCAACAGACCCTGGCAACTAATGTGTCTAAAACCAAACTTCAGGACCATTTTACAAAATACTTATTCCTCGGCCTTTCTATGTTGTCATCGAAAAATTGTGACTACAAATTGAAAAAGCTGTAACACTCTTTCTGATTGCACAAGTCCACTTAATCTCTTCAGAAGCGCCCTTGAAATCCATAGCGACAGATTGTTCTTAGTTTTGCTCAATAATCTATATCCTCCAAGGAAAACTCTACTAACCGGATACAGAAGCAGCTTAGGCGTCCAAGCTACACCAATGAAAAATGATGAGAGTCTGCTGTCAGCCATTCATGTGGGACTGGGGTTAGAAAAGCTTTTCATATTCTGCCAGTATGATGGAGAGTCTTACATATGGATGAAGCTGAATTGAAAATGCAATACAGAAAACAGTTCATATTTCTCTATCAACTTCAATGATAATATTATCTGCTATTTCAGTGTAAAACATGCTGAGTTTTGCAGTATCATGCACAGTGCAACAATAGCAGGAACGTGTATTAAAAAACAGACAATGGAAGCCATAGGGAACTAGTGTCTATTTTGGTGGCAACAAAAATGCAGAGTTAGAAGAGCTACTGTTCAGTGAAGTCCCCAGTGATAAAGGCAGGATAGGAAGGATGTAGAATGCACCTCTAGGAGACAGGAAGCTAGAAGTGTAATAAGGACTGAGCTGTTTTCAAGGGATGCCAATTCAATTATAAAGATTGGACATCGGCTGGGATTCTGACATAATGGGGCCTATCTAGATTCCCATTGGACCATTCTGCTAGATATATAAAGCTCATAGGATACACCCGTTATTTTTTGATATTGTTTAATCACTTTGGCACCAGAGGTAAAAATTGTGTTGTATCCACTTGAAGCACTGCATTCTGAATTGCTGCTGCAAAGTCTTATCTGCAGGACTGTAATAGAGGGAATAGAGAAGGTACATCTTGTTCAGTACTGTAATATATTTTGGTGATATGTCAGCCAGCCAAACATTTCAGTTTATTGTCTGCACTAACTCCCTGTGATTCAAGCCATTTCTGAAAGAACAATTACCATAACATCTATCTTTTGTCTTAAGTAGGTAATCTTGGTGTTCAAGGAGATAATCACTCAAGGCTACTAAAAAGACAAAAATGAAAAATGTTGTTGTTACAGTCTCATGGTCACACACCAATCATGCATACAGTTTTAATCAATCCAAGATCAAGAGTATATTGATCAAACAAAAAAAATCAGTTCCAAAGTATTATGTAAACATATCACAAATAATTGTTGATAACAGTGATTTCAATATGACCCAGAGTACTGTGATTATGATTTGAAATCAAGTAGCCCCAATGATTTAAGTGTACCTAGTGTACATTTTCAAAACTGTCTGAGTCAGGAAAATAAAATTTGGGTTTGTAGTTATAAGTCTGTGTGTTTGGCACATTTTTGTTGAATTTCACAAATTTACAATACTTGGAATATATTGTACACAATATTTAGTTGCAAAGTGTACACAGAATACATAAAGCTTGACATTGTTGAAAAGATGTGTTTTAATTTAATTATAATAGTGAAAAGATGTAATGCATTATTGTTTTCAAAGTCAAAACTGACATGGGTAGCATGGAAATGGTGGAATGCCATGGACAGCATTCTCTGCAGAGAGCTCACAATGCTCCACCACGTCCAAGAGTTAGACCCTGACAGGTGCCACATCGTTAAATTCACTGACACATTTGACTGGAATGACAACACATATATGGCATTTGAAATGCTGGACTGCAGCTTAGAGGACTTTAGGAATCAGCATCAGAAGAGCCTATATCTAAGTGTGATCAGAGTGTTTGCCCAACAGCTTCTGGTGGCCTTTGAGGCACTCAGAGAGTTGGCTGACCTGAAACTCGATAATGTAATGGCGGTCAAATCAGCCATTAAAAGTGAAGCTGACTGACTCTGGCACACCAGAAGTCAGATTACTTATTTTCGGGTTCCAGCCTGGGACTGCCTCTAACTGAAGCCCTGGACATTTGGTCCCTGGGCCCCTTACTTGTATTCTTCTACCTGGGCAGACCCCGTTTCTCCGGCTCCTCCCCCTACAACAGCCTGAGGACCATCAATAGTGTGCTGGGAGATCCATCAGATGAGCTGTTGGACAGGGGAATATACACCAGGACATTTACAAAGCCAGAGGAGTACTACAAGAGAATAACTCCAAGTGAAGCTCTACAACATGAGTTTATAACCCTGAAGTACTTTGAGGAGAACTATGCTGACAGTGTAAAATGGGCCAGAGGCATTATAGAATAGTTCAGAGGAACACTTGCAGAGATCCTGGAACACCACCAACATCAACCAGGAGGTCAAGGAGATGCCTTCAACACCAAACCAATGCAGCATGTTTTTTTTAGCACAATTAATTTGAGTTAACATCCCAACTTTGAGCAAAACAAATTCACAAAACAGGTAGAAAAATTAAGAAATCATTTGAATCACTTAAAATCTGATCCATTTCTCAAAATCACAAAATTTCATCCTTTAATTGTTCTAAAAATCTCAGCAAATTACTTTTCCGTTTTACTCTTTAAGTACATTTTAAACAGATACTTTTACTTAAGTAGATTCTTTCATGTGATACCATTACTTTACTTTGAGTAACTTTTTACCTTTTGTACTTGTACTTTTACTTAAGTAACAAAATTTAGTACTTCTTCCACCAGAGAGCACAATGTCTTTTAAACGGTCAATTTTAATAAACATTTTGAGTTAAATTTTTGTTACTACACTCTATATGTGTCATTCATAATCTTGATGACTCCAGCGAGACTCTAAAGCCACAGAAAAACATACATGAAAAAGTGTGTTAACTTTTAACATGAAGATCTGATTTGTGCACCCATGAGACAGGTCCCCATCATGTGTGTGTACAGATGTTAGTCCTCACTTCTGGCCCCGTGAAGGAGCATATGATGTTCCAAATGGAGAACACCAGGATCTGCAAAATGTACATACAGGCCCTTCTAGACTTTGATCAATACATGTATTTTTCATGTTTTTCTCCTTCACTGTCATATGATAATGATACTGTATCTGCTGCTGTATTTTCACCAAATGCTCTGACCTATTTGTTCATGTGTTTGTTGTAGGTGTGCTCAGGGATCATCCCAAATGGAGGACTTCACCGTCCTCTCTTTAGACCTGTCTTCTGGCCACTCCATCAGAGAACTCGTGGCCTACCATTTGAAGGTATGTGCCATCTTAGTTTATCTACAAATTCATTTTATTCACCTATATTTTAACAACACAATAACAGAAACACAATCCAACTCATTTACAGGAAACAGAGCTGGAGTACAGGTGTGAGTGCGGAAGCACACTCTCTGGGCAGACCACATGTATTGCCACTCTGCCAAAGTAAGTCTGCACAATAAATTGGATTTGATTTGATTTTTAATAACTTTTTTAACATAACTCTCTTCCTGCAGTGTCCTTATTCTCCATCTGAAGAGATTCAGATATAACTCTGAGTTTAGGATGGAGAAAGTGATGCATCGCATCCAGCTGGATGAAGAGCTAGTCATCGAATCCAAACAGGTAAACATTAAAAACTTATTTAACATATTTTACAGAGTGAAAGTAACACAAAGTTAAAAATAAATCAAGCTATATTGATTAATGGATTTTCTTTTACCCCTTTCAGGGGGTTGGATGTTTCAAATTGAACAGCATTATTTCTCATTTAGGAGACTCAGCTAACCAAGGTATGATACTATAGAAATATATCATATTTGGTGTTACCTTGTGCTACTATCTAAATGTTTGTGTTTTAGGACATTATATCTGCGATGGGCTTGGCCCAGAAGACACATAGGAACATGGCTCACCTATGACGATCACCATGATGTCACCAGGATGAGAGTACAGGACATCTGCCGAAAGAGGGCCAGATCGGCGTATATCCTTTTCTATGAGCTGCAGAAACCTGCCTCCTTTTACTGCTCTACTCCTCAGCAGTGAATCTACCACTGGGTACAAGAAGAAGAGAGTGGTCGGCGGAGTTGGAGCTTCCACAGTTCAGAACCCATCAAACAGGAAAAGGAAAGCTGATCAGAATCCTGATAATCTACAGTAATTCTTCCTTTGAAATCAGTCATTTCATGTCCATCAAACACAGAATGCTTTCATATATCAGTTTAATAAATTATTTGAATATTTAAAATTAATTAATGGGATGTGCTAGTTTTTCCTGTGGTGGTGGTGTAGTGGTGAGCATAGCTGCTGTGAAAGCAGCTGACCCGGGTTCGAATCCTGGCCATCACATAGCACCGGTACTATCCTCAAAAACGCTGTGTATGTGTGGAGTTTGCATATGCAACTTAGAACCAACTACATTGTAGGAAAAAACTGTTATTGTGCTGTTGAAGAATAAACACAAGTAATTCAAAGACATGACACAGGTCATGGATCATACAATAGAGGTTCCTCCAGAGAGGAACTGTTAGGGACTTCTAGGGCTTCACAGAAGGCCTAAAGATTTCAGCACTTATACATTAAATTTAATAATATAAATATTAAATTGTACAAAATATATCAATAAAATAATTATTTTAAGGCTATATTTCAAGCAAACATTTCATAAATAACAAAGATTAATGTTCCGAGTACAGAAAACTACAGTGTCCAATCAGATTTGCTATTGTTTTGGGGGTTACACATTGAGAACTGCTTGCTCATTTGCTTGGTATGCAGACAGCAAGCAGAGGGCCTCAGCATATAGTCTATGGTTAGCACTGTGTATGGATGTGTGTGGAAACTAGCAACGTGTCTCACTCTTATTTGTCGTGCTCATGCCCATGTTTTTATGCATTAGCCTGAAGGCCTAGGTTCACCACTGGTTAAACCAATGGAGATTTTAGATACTAAAGTTAGCATTAAAGGTTGTATAGAGGATTTTCCAAGGAACGAGAAATCCAGCGACTGTTTGTCCTTTTTCAAATGTTGCGCAGGGGGAAGAGCGGAACAGGCAGCGGGGAGAGGAGCAGGAAAGGGTGCAGAGAAGGGTGCGCGGAGATTCCGTGCGAATGAAATAGCTACAACACGCAGCAGCAAGCGGACTCTTTCTTTGCCTTGAAAATTACGTTTTCAGACATAGGATATTGCATTCGTGTCCTGAAAAACGTTTGTCTAGCTCTTGGAAATAAAGTACGTTTTCATAATAAGCAGAAGTGACCTGTCCAGGAGTAATTTGGCGACCAGTGCGTCCAGTCTTTAGACCCTGCGTCTGCTTCAGTTGCACCATCGCTGGAATGAATCTACAAGAATCACCTTAGTTTAGCTTTGCTGCTTTTCCCCTTATCTTCTTCTTTCAGCGACCTCAAAAACTGACTTTCTTTTGTGGCTAACTGCTCCTGGATTCTTGTCTGCCATTGCAACAAACTTTGTGCTAACTGCGAGGAAGATATAGGTCAAAAAAGCCGCTAAGAACTGTTGCGTTGGTGGAGTAAGCAGCGTCTGTGCGTCTTGCGTCTGTGGATTGCGTGACAGGCGTAAACCACGTAACGGCAGCGCGCAGGCAAGTCAGTTACGCTAGAAACGTAGGGAGTTTAATTGACAGCCTGTCAGCTAACAGATAACGAGGCAGTGTCGTTATCTATTGGCAAATGTTTAGCCCCACCACGTCCAGAGTTTATGAATTTTTATTCTCTTTTTTTTGGTCATCATAATTACAAGGCTACTGCACCTCTATAATGCTATCATTGACAATTTGAAACAAAAAAAATCCTCCATACAACCTTTAAGTATTCTAACATTATACCATGATAAAAGTATTTACCAGTAGTGACCCAGCAGCTCATCTATTTGTACCAAATGATTACACGACGCTGTGGAATCCTACCCATATCACTAATTTCGAAACTAAAATTGGAGAAAGAAAGAAATGCGTCAAAGTGGGTGTGTACCGGTGGTGGTGAAAATGGGTGTCGATGAATACAGGATGCAGAAGCAATTGTATTTGGCAGAAATGATAGAGCAGCACCAAATATTTAAACCCTTTAATCAAATTCAATACTCATTTGAAGGTAAAGTCTGTGATGGATAGTGTTCATGTGAGCAGTTTTCTATTCAGCTAAACCTATCTATGGATATTTCTAATGCTGCTCAGTTGATCGTTTTGGTGCTTTATCCATGGGAAGGTCACATTTAGGAGAATTTCTTGTTTTGCAAGGAGCTAACAGGGGGACTTGAACTTGTGAATGTTTTCACGATAGAAGTGTGTCTGAACTGAGACAGGTGTGTGGCCAGTTGCATGGACAGGGCAGTGGCAATGGCTAGAAGGAAAACTGTGTCAGTCCAAACATTAGAGCCACACACTGTTAGATCAGCAAGCACTAGCTACCAAAGACATAGATCCAGATCAATCTGTTTTGAACACTGCTATTTCTGCTGTAAACTTTGTGTAACCAAGAGTGCTACAGTCATGTTTGTTTGGCCAGCTCAGTGAATTTCTTCACACGAACTTATCTGTGGATATTGTGTGGTCTGTCACCACTGCGGACCTCGCATCACTACACCAGCACTTCAGTCGTTTCAATGTTTTTGTGTGTTTAAAACACTGGCATGAGTGATTTCGCCTGCTACGTATTAGTTAGAGCCAGTGCTGCAAGATAACAAAGCATAAAAGTAAATGTACAATACTTAAGCACAAACTTTACTTAAGTAAGTTTTAGAGTGGATACTTTATACCTTTACATCCTACATTTCAGAACATGTACCTGTATTTTCTAATCCTCTATTACTTTAGATCTGGACTGAAAAGTAAAAAGTATGGCCTCCTCCTTTTGATGAATTGCAGATATTCTCAGCAGCAAAGTCATTTCAATTAAATTAATTATTTTCTGTACTCACTGCAGATGTTGAGGCAGGTGACTGGCATAGTGATTTCAATATAGACTTCAAATCTTCCCAATCTCATTTTAATCCCATTGACAACCAATATTTCTGACGAGGCACAATATTTTTGCACTACAGGACTGGACAATATGGCAAAAATAAACAAGGCAATAAAAAAAAAAAAAAAAAAAAAAAAAAAATCACTTAAACTTCTACTATTGTTATTCTTTTTTTATTTTTATCAAAACACATAAAATGACCTTTAATATAAATTTTACTTACAAACAAGACTTTAAATGCCATTTAACGCCAAAAAAATATTGGTAGACTGTACTGAGTTATTGTGGATGGATTCATTTCTAGTTCACATAAACTTAAAGCCCTTATGTTGAAGAGTGTAATTGGACAGTTGCTGCTTAGCGCTGATGCAGTGCTCGTGCGTTGATGAGTCTGCGCTGTGACAGATCTGACACTTAACCCACACGTCTCTTTTTCCACGTCTAAATCAATCCGATGCACAGGGTCTGAGCGCTCCAGAGGTGGGAGGACAACATGTCGAGAGCACACTGAGATATACAGACACACTCAATAACACTTTACACACGTATAGACTGACGGATACAAGACACCTTCATTTTGTATGGCTTTAGTCAAAGGAGATTTGAGGCAAAGACGAGGCACATTTCAGTACTGGAGAGAGAAGAGAAGACTTATTGATCTGGAGTCTGAGAATAAGCAGAGTGTAATGGCAGACACTTTGTATTTGAGCAGAACAACAGCTAATGATGGGAAGAAAGCCGAGGATGTCAGAATTGTTGCATTACTTGGCATTAGAAGTAATTTGAGCACAAAGTTTGCCTGGGCAATGAGACAGCAAAGCACTTCAGTATAGAGTTTCTTCAAAACTTTATGCAAACCAAAAGCACGGTGACATTTAAGTAAGTCACTTTTTACTGAATTGAATGCACTTTTGAACAAATGCAATTTTGAATTATACTTGATGGAAAAATCCAATGATATAGAGTAATCTAAAAGTTTCTCATACATTGTACTAGGTAGTATAAATAATGATTATGTTAAATAATGAGTTCTGCTTTATTGACATGGACAATAATTATTGTTGTGTGGTAAAAAACAACTATAAAAAAAATGCGGAACAATTTGTGTACATTTCCAGCTACTACTGCTTCTACTGTCCTTACCTTGATATTTGATTGAAGCAGATCTACCCATATCTTCCTTAAAGTTATATAGACACAAGGTTTATTTTATATGTTTATGATTAATATACAGAACATAAAAGACAACACGTTTGCACTGAAGCTACCCTGAGCTAATACTGTGTAAACTGGCTTTTTGCTTGGATCAAAGCTTTCCTATTATAGGAACTGTGCACTGCAGTGTGCTCTTTAATGTTTAAGCATCCTTGGATAACCCGATAGAGGCATTCATAATACAATTACTGCAGCTCCCAGACTCAAACACACAAACACTATCCCAGTGCTTAGAATATGTGACCTCCATCTCATCACTGCACAAGGCGATGCTCTACTCTCCTCATGCCACACATTCACCAGTTATTATTTCCTCAGGCACTCTCCATAATAACGGATTTTTCATCACAGTGAAAGGACAGCTATACATATATGTAAAGTAATACTATTGCAAATACAGTATACACTTGGCCCTGCTGAGACTACAAAAATGGGCAAAATGAGTATATGCAGACAGAAGCAGTGCCCTGTGTCCTTGCTTGGTTCACCTTGGGTTTCATGTAGCATTGGAGCATTGAGGCAACGCGAGATGGAGTGAGGGAAAGATTTATCACAACTGGACAGGTGCAGCAGAGGGTATGGCTGAAAGAGCAAAAGCACAAATCTTTATCACTGTATTACAATAGGAAACATTTTTGTTCATTGCTGCATTTCATCCAGCTAACATAACACATTGCACAACCTCTGACATTTCAAGTGAATAATGTAAAGCATGTTAATCCTGGTAGAGGTAAATAAGTGTTATGTATATGTAACTTGTGTATATAATGACAAAAGTACTATAACATTCAAAAGGAAGGTTAGCATCACTTTATATCAACTTGAGGGTTAGTGTAGCTAGTTGGTTTGAAAGGGCTGGAAGTGATAGTGGAAGTAAAATAGAAGGTTAAGAAACAAAAACAAAATGAGGGATTTAAAAAAAATAAAATAAATCTACTCTAGAGCAATATTTTGAACACAAAAATTCAGACAAATATAAACTAAAACTAAACTCACCACCTTATAACCAATCACAGCAGACTGTCTTTCTGCAGAATTGAAGTTAAGACATTCTTGTTGTGTGGTGTCTTAACCACTGTCCCATTGTGTTGCTCCTGAATAGAAACAGCAGTGAATATTCAGTCCCTAAAGTTGAGCAAACAAATTTGAGAAGGC